GCAGTAAATGAGGTTTGAATGATGGTCGAAACGCGTTGAGAGTACTGTAGACTGACGTTATTGCTTGGGGGAAACAACAGGCACCCTCAGAAGCGATGCACTACCGGCTAGCATGTCATCCAGGGGGTGGGAGATGGATGCGCGTTTTGGGCGCATGATCAGTGGCAGAAGCTGATGGCATGGTCTGCGTCAATCCCTGGGTGCGCCCAGCAGGGCAGCGAAGTTCTAGGTAGCCCAGTCCAAGATCTAAGCCCCAGGCCTCCAGTTATCGAATGGCGTAGCTGCAGGGTTCTGCAAGACGGTGCCCAAAATGACTTGGGGAAATGAGCACAAGGTTTGACGACTCATAAACCGGCCAAGAGCGCGCACAGACACAACTACACCAAGCACCCAATCCACACCCACACACACACACGCCCACACACACGCACACACACAAACTTGAATCATCAAAGACATCTCTTGTACTCAGCCATGTGCAAAAACAGAGACACACACCCAGACATACGAGTCGATTGCCAGGAGCTTTTTGACCTGCGCGAGCGAGTGGAGGAAGTGGTGCAGGTTCGGGTTCGTGGGGGTGGTTCGTGGGCTCGTGTGCAGTAAGCTGGCGATGAATTGGTCCCATTCAGAAGTTGTGTTTGGAAGCCTAGGGAAGAGGCGATGGTGTAGTCGATTTGAGGGAGCAGCAGCCAGTTGTTCCAAGGTGCCTGAGCTGGTGCACTCTTCGTAGAGTGTCAGTGGCCTCCAAAGCAACAAAAGCTTCCAGGACTGCTTGATGCCATTTGTGAAGTTGTCGTTCGTCTGACCCTTTGAAGGGGGCCCTTTGATCCTGTCCTGAACCACATTTGAACATCAACATGCCAAGGGGCTGCTCTCTTCGTCATATTCGATTCAGAGGTGATGTCGCAGCTCAGCCAGCCGCGAGCTGTGTTTCTCTATAGGCAAGCCCTTTTTACCACTTTCCGCTTGGGGGCAATTTCCAGGATAAGCGGCTACAGAATGTCTGATAGTTCATTCCCGTACTCATGACTGAGTTTGGGTCACAAGGTACCAACACAACTCATTGTAATGATTTGGGCCTTTATTACCCTCCTGTCCACGTTGCCATGGAACCCACCAGAGGATCCTTTTAGGAAAATGGTCTTCCAGGACCCCCCAGTCAGGTTCCATATTAGTGTATGGGAGGGTACCCCTTGTGGTAGGGTGCCTGCAACATCAATCTCCTCTTCAAGGGACCCTCGGTCGGGTGCCATGTTGGTGAGGGAAGGTTGTGAGTATCCCTTGTTAGATGATCCCACAGGCGGGTGGCGAGAAGGCCGGCGAGTTCAAGCCCAGCGAGGCACGGACGATCCGCAGCTGCTCAGAAGTTGCTTCTTCTTGGCTTTGCCCGTTTTTCCCAAACACAAAGGATGGGAAACCCGATAATTTTGAAATAACTCCCAACAACTGGACGGGCACCGGATCTCATGACTCTGCAGCCTCCCAGGTTTTGCAGCAAGGAAGTCACACGTCAGGCCATCCCGAGGTTGATTGCGTGACCAGGCCTCAGACTGCCAAAGAGAAAGTACAACGAACAAGCAACAAAAGAAGAAACAGACGCAGAAAAGGAAGAAGCAAAAGAACACTCTCATGAAGAAGAGGAAGAAGAAGAAGAAGAAGAAGAAGAAGAAGAAGAAGAAGAAGAAGAATAGAAAGACAATAACAAATACTAAGGAAAGAAACAAGAAGAACCGACAGAGGCAGGCAAGTCCCCCTAGTCCCCCCAGACCCGCCTGCCTGAACTGTGCCACTACGGATGGTGATGGTCCTTTTTGTGGGGTACGCCCTTAAGACAAGTGTGTGCCCAGCACTTTTGACCCGTTTTGTTTTTGTTGCTGTTGGGTTGTCCTTTTGGTTCCCTTTAAAACCACGCAAAAAGGTAACATCAATGTTATGTTCCTTTTTCTTCTCCTTTTCTGTGTCTGTTTCCTTTTTTTGTTTTTTCTTTCTCTCTTTCTCTTTTTATTTGTCTTTTCCATGCTATTGTCCTTGCTATGTTCCTTTACTGTTCTTATGCTTTCTCTTTGTACTATTCTCTGATTATGTTCCTTGTCTCTTCTTTTCTTTCTTTTGCTTTTTGTTTTTCTTTGTCTTTTCTCTTTCTTTTTCCATTCCTCTTTCTGTTCCTTTTCCTTTTCTACTCTTTGCCTTTTCATTTTGCGTTTCTCCTTTTCTTTCCCTTTTCCCTTGTCCCTTTTCCATTGTCCCTTCCTTTTTGATTTTTTTCCTTTTTCCGCAGATAGCTGAAAGCTATAGGGGTGTAACTTCTAATAAAGAGGGGAAGTTATTTGCGAGATTGACGGCTGGCAGTCTGGGGTGCCAAAACGCTGCACCTGCGCCACCAGTGGTGGCGCAGGTGCAGCGTTTTTGGATTTGGTTTGGGGCGACGATGGAGTGCTGTTGCGGGGCGCTGTTCAGGGTGATGGCGCGGGCGCATTTTTGCGAGATTGATGGCAGGGTGCCAGGGGGCATGCAGTTTGGGGTGCTGGTGCAGGTGCTGTTTTGGGGGGCCTGGGGACGGGCGCGTCTTTGCGAGATTGATGGGGGGCAGGCAGCTTGGGCATTCTTGCGCCGGTGCTGTTTTGGGATGCTGTTTTGGGGTGTTACTTGAGGTGCTATCTGGGGTCTATGCTGGTGTAATCTTTTTTCTTCTCCTTTCCTTTTCCTTTGTTTTCCGCTTGTCTTTGGCCTTTTTGTTTTGGCTTCGGTTGTCGTTTTCTTTCTTTGTTGCTGCGTCTCTTTTTGTTCTTTCTTTTCCTTTCTCTCTTCCTTGTTCTCTTTTTCACCTTTATATAGCTTTGTCCTTTATTTCTTGTTATTTTGTTTTCTTTCTTTCTTTCTTTCTTTCTTTCTTTCTTTCATTGTTTCTGTCTTTCTCTCTTTCATTATTTCTGTCTTTCTTTCCTTCCTTTGATTCTTTCATTCATGCTTTCTTTCTTTCCTTCCTTTCTTTCTCTTTCTACTTCGCTTCGTCTGTGTCTCGTCTGACGTCCCCTGTTGAACCCTTTGTTCTTTCCTTTGGTTTTGCTTTGTGTCTCGTTTCGCTATGTTTTTGCACTTTCTCCCAGCAGCTCTTTGCATCCTTTTCTTTGTCTGGTTCTCCTTTCTCTTGGGAGGGGGGGAGGGAAGGAAGCAAGGGGATGAAAGGGACAAGGGATGGGAAGGGAAGGGAGGGAGGGAGGGAGGGGCTGCAGCTCACCAACCCACATCACCACAGTGGCCATTGCAGGACTTGGAAGACTTGCGGCGGCGCCTGGATTGGTTGGAGGAGCAGGGCGGGGTGTGGATGCCCAGCGGTGCTTGACATGGGTGCGTGGCCGAACCTGGGCTGGGGCTAGGCGACTCACTCCGATTCACCTTCACGACCCCGGGTGGGAGTACTGTTTCAGACTACACGAGTTTGTTTGAGGGCTTTGGACTTGTTTCTTTCGAATGAGTGTCATTTTCTACGGTCCGGAGACGGGTTGTGCAATTTGATGAGCAGCGGTAGTTTTGGGCAGCTTGCGTGCTGAAGTGTCCTCGCAATGTGTTTCACTATCGTGCCAGACCAGAGTCGCAGGGGGTGCAAGGCATCCCCACTACATAGGGGTTGATCAATATTCCTGGCCCCCAAGGGGAACTTTTCCCATTTGGTGGGACATATCATCTTTCTAGTGGTTGCCCCCAAAGGTCATCCCCCAAGATGTGTGATTCATCGGGCGTGGGCCAGATCAATCTTGAGTTTGCATACCACTACTTGGCCGGAAAGAGCGACGAGATTGCAATGTGAGATCATGGAAATGAGCAGCTGCTTGATTCATGTCTTTCGCGAATGTCAAGGACCCGGAAGTTTCCAAGAGAACTGTAGACTGACCATTTTACACAACAGGTGCAATTACGCCGGTGTGTGTTGAAACAATATTTTCCCCGTTTAGTCATGAATTCAGGGTTCTCATCAAGCGGCGCAAAATGTCCGCAAAGCTTGAGATAAATGAGGCATTCTCTCCGAAACCTGCTTGACCTTCTCTCAAATACCGTGCGATGGCCCAAGTATCACGAATCAGACCCGAGATTCTGCCCTCGCACGCATCAGGTCGGGTGTTCGGAGGTCTGCCCCGAAGTCTTCCTTCGATATTTTGCGTGTGAGGCGCTGTCCAGGCTCCTGTGAGGCTTTGTCCAGGCTTGCCTTAAGATCTTTGGCCCTTGTCAACAAGGGGGTGACGGTTTCCAGTGGCTCCTGGGCTGCCGTGGTTGCCCCCTTACACATAAAATTGGGGCTTTGGTGCCGCAATTTTTGGTTTCTCCTCGGTGCTAGGCTTGCTCAACTTGGGGAAATTGGTGTTGACTGCAACGGGCGGGATAGTTCCCGAGTCCCGAGGACAAGCCCGAGTCCAACCGCTTAGCCCAGGCGAGGGGTGCACAGGTCAGAGGTGGCTGTGTGTAAAGCTGACGTAAAACAATGCAGAGTCCACAAGGTTGTCATCAAAAGGGGTCTCGCTAAAAGAAAGGCACACATCCCTCCACTGTGCTCGCACGCCTGCTTGTTCACTGTTGCAAGATGAAACACTAGCTTGAATCGTGAAAATCTACCCTGAACTGATTGAACATACTGCAGATCAAGAATAGCAGTTGGGAGTTTTTCAGAAAGCCACCATTTCTTTTGTTCTTTGGCGGCATGTTGCCGAAGGAATTCCAACCAGTAAGTAAAATCCAAATCAAGCAAGAGATGGGATGTACCATGCTTTCGAACTTCTTGGTGGCGATGCGGATATGTAGGGTTTAGATATGTTTCACGAGATGTGGGTGACATGAGCAACCTAAGAGCTCAGCGACTTTCCAGTTTGCCGGACCATCATCTCTTGCAAATGGGGTCCAGCCCAGCATCGAGCCACATTGGTTTGTTCACGGGATGATTGCTCAGCCTTTCCAGTTTGAATGAACTTGGACATGGTGTAGAAGTTTCTTCTGCGATATATTGT